GGACAAGTTATTTTGAGTTTTACATTTTAATATTTAGTTTATTTACTGAATATTGTATTTTAGAGATGTTGGATTTTATATTAGGACACTTTTAAATAGTGTGTTTCTTAGTTATTTTTTTACAGTATACTTATGTGCCTATCAACTATAGTTTGAGGTGTCTTATGTCTGAGCAGAATAGTTATTCGATCTTCAGCATCTTCACACAACGTAAAAAAATCATTTGATAGGTAATAAGTAAAAGATGTTCATCGTTTGAAAGATAACTATCGCTATTTTGCACACTTGAGATAAAAATCAAATCTCAGAGACACTGATATCTTAAAAAAACTACTGAACTACGTAAATTCTCAAACACCTGGTGTGATGATGGACATTTTCGAAGTTGTTAAAATATTAAGTTAAACCTTATAATTAGAAGAATGATTAATGGCTAACTACTACAGAATTATGGTCTTTTTAACCTGAACAGGACCTTATGCAAGTCAGAGACCCCAAGGTTCAGGAATAGCGTGTTTTAAGGTAGAACTATTGACCTACACCTAAACTTATAACTGTACAACGGAATAGAGTTTCATAACGTATCCAAAGCTGATAGTGTATTCAGTAGCATTCTATGGCCTCGAACCTTTGACCTTCCGTTCTATTTTATTTAATTATAATGAAAATATCATTCGAAACCAAATTATACAATACGTTTGTCAATTCATCTCTACTACTGAATTATGCTTAATTATTTTGCACAATAATTTATATCCAATAAAAGAGGCACTTAAAATTTATTGAAAATAGTGCAAGCATTATTGTAAAAACAATCATTTTATTGCATACTAATAGTTCATAAATCAGTTTGGTGTTTAAGGCTAGGAAATTGACGATCATACAATTGAAAAGTGTATCGATACAAGAAAGGACAGATAAGATGAACTTTCGTTAGATTTAATATTCTTTTCACGTCTCTCTTACACCTTCAAAAGATATTCAAGGGACATCTGAAAAATATTAAATCGTCTGCTTTGAATACTGAACAGATATTGTAATCTTAGATAACATGTTTCAAACAAGTTCAATAACAGTTCAGCTCCATTGATTTTTGCCAAAAAGTATTAAAAGGATTACAATTTAACAAAAATTGGACATCTTGTATGAAAATCAAGTAGACATTAATTAAAATATAAGTATATGTTATCTGTGCTGTGCTTTTCATGAGTATCAACTTCGAGCATTGTGAGCCCTTGACTTCCAGCTGAGCCACAGGGGGGGGGGGAGGTCTAATTAAATAGTTTCGTTGAAAATTAACTTCCTGATAGCAATTGATTAAGCTATTAGCGAGAAATAAACATTCTTTATAAAGTTCTAGGTAGTTTTAGTTCGTTAGTAAAACTCCTAAATCTGTTTTACTATTTACGTTTCATTGTTTACTGTTAAACATTTTATGAATGGTGATTGATATTGTTCACAGTCATTGTTTTATTTATTAAGTTATTTTCCTCAATTTATTATAAATATTTTTTAAAACTATACTTACGATACTTATAAAGTCCGCTTACTAGCATTAATAATTACTTTAAATTTAAACTGTGCACATTGGTTAAAGAAGTGGACAAGAAATATTGGAAAGATAACTGTAGAAAACGCTTACATAATCCCAAAGAGGCGTGGCGAGTCTTATCCATATGGCAATTATGTAAATGTACTATACCATTAGCAATACAGCGATGTGGCAAAACCGGGTTTCAATTCTCATGATAGGAACAGCACAGATAGCTAATTGTGTAGCTTTGTGCTTAATAACAAACAAACAAAGACGTGGCAAATCTATCGTCATAGTAGTAAAATATACCATTCTGTATCTTTCTTGACAGAAGGAGACGTGGTAAACCTGATGTTAATAATATAAATACTCTTTGTGTTCTATGTAGCAGTTTTACGATTTTTACAGCCAACATTTGCCCTATTACATTATTTATACATTAGAGGGCATGGTGTTACAGGTAGAGCGTTAGACTCGCAATCTGCGGTTGGTGCGTTCAAATCCAGTTACTGAATATGCGGGGGCGTTATAATGTGACAGTTAATTCCCCTTTTCGTTGTAAAATACACGTTCAGGAGTAGGCGATGGATGGGGTTGACTAGCTACTTTTTAACTAGTCTATCGCCTTTTGATTAGAAACGGTTAGAATAAAAAGACATCAAGTTTATTTGTTGAATTTCACGGAAACAAACAAAATATATTGAAGTTCTATATTCAAATCAGGAACAGTTATGAATACAGATTATTAAAAAACACATTCAAGTGTAATTCTCTTTCAAGTTATCTTATAATATAGTGTTCATAATGCATAATTATGCTATATATATTTCAGAATTATGTTAGTTAGAAGTATATGTTGTGACTTAAAATTATATCTTAAGCAGTTTGAATTTTTCCAGTAAAATTAGGAATACGAATAAATGCTTTATCATTGGCGTGTAAAATTATGTGTAAAGATTGTTCTCAGAATAGAGAAATAATAAAAGTATAAAATTAAGTTAGTATGACACAGATGTATTGAGAAAAGTTTGGTGTGTTATTGAAACTTTAATCGATGTGTACGATTCAAGGAAAAGTACTCTAATTATCATTTACTTGTGATATTCAAAACTCAAAGTGTCACACAGGT